ATACCTCCTGTGGCCTGGCAGAGAGTCCTGCTTCCCTCTGGCTTGCATTCAGCTTGTTTGTGCAAGACCTACTGTATTATGGCAAGGAAAGCCATCTTCCAACCTTCTCTCCCTCAGTGGATCTAGAACACCAAACCCTTACAGCACTGGCTGTGTTAGATAGAATGGGCTCTCAGTTCATCCTTAGCTTCATGAGAAGCTACAAGATGATCACAAGTTAAATGCTGTTTTTTTTTTTTTTCATGAAATATATCATTTCTCTTTTTCATGAGCTTAAGCCAAAACACTCTGTATTTCTCCTTCACATTTGACACATTTCATATGTTCCTTGTGATACCACATTTATTTGCATAGCCCTGCATTGCTAGGCCTTTCCCTAAAGTGCCCAGCCTTCCCTCAGCTTCGGCGTCAGTAGATCTCCTTTTATGGGCTTTTTTCACTCTACCTCCCACTCTGAGCTTGTTGTCATTGCTCTTCTCCCTCCTTGAGTACAAATCTATTCTCATTTAATTATTGATCTGTTTCTTTATCACACTTACCAAAGTGTAAGACTTTTTTTTTTTTAAAGAAAGATAAGAGACTATCTTCAGTCTCTAATATCATGCCTACCACTTAGTAGAATCTCAACAATGTTGAATGTATAATTTTTTTTTCTACTGGTAGGAGTCTTTAAGATGAAGTTTTGTGTCACTTCTCTTATCCCCAGAGCAATGCAGAGTTGTGCAAAATGCAAAACCACCAAATATTTACAAATATGAGGACAATTGTGAAATAGTATGAAATGAGTACCTTTGTAGAACAAAAAACAAGGGACACTGAATAAAGAGAGTAAGCCACCTACAGTGTGGTATTGACAAAGCATGAGGATAAAGTCGGATGGGAAAGAAAGTGATGGCTAGAGGATGGAAATTTTGAGGAAAGAGAAATATTTTAACACAGAGGTAGTAGGAAGATCAGCGTGATGAAAATATTTGAAGAAGGATGATTTTGAGCCTTATTTTGCTGACTGATCCTGAGAAATCAGACAGGGAAGCCCAATAAGAGGCTTTTCAAGTAATCCAGCCTTTTGATAGTGACACTTCACTACGCAAATTATGGGTTGATTGTGAAATCAATACAAGAATGCAGATTTGGAGTTGCCACTGAAATTTGTGCATACTCTGCGGAAGTAACATATCCTATAAATGGCACATGTCTGGGCTATGTAAATACAGTGGCTTCATGCTCTAGGTCAGAAGATAGTGGCTTTAGCTTGAGTGATTTCCTTTACCGGTACTACAAACACACTGCATTCAAGGCTTGGGAAACAAGAGAGAATTTTGATTTTTCTAGAAAAGTTTTATGTTTAAGTTTAGATTCTCTCCAAGCCCCCACCTAAATCTCCCTGGTATCAGTGCATACTGAAACATTTAGATTGCTGCTTGTTTGCCTAAAACTGGTGAGTACTTTAAATCTGAAACAATGTTTCTTTCTGGGAAATTCCTGGGAGTAATAGGTCCCAAACTTCCAGTCATTCAGTATCAGAAGTGAAAAGGACCGTAGAGATTACAGCAATCTTCTTGGTTGTCCTGGTTCCCACAGTCAATTTTTTTTCCAATAATGAACAGAGGTCATTGACTTGTACAAGATCAGAAAGGTGACTATTAGAGGCAGTGCTGCACTAGAAGTCATATGGACCTTTTTAATGCAACCTGTCTAATTACCATCAGTCCAGGGTCTCCATTATTTTATGACAATTCCTAGATTTTCATTCCTTCATTCATCCTTACTTCATTCACTGAAGCTCACCCTGAAGAAATTCATGCTTTTATTAGTAGGCATCTTCACAAATGCAAAAGATTCCTATACATGCTTTGTTATTTTGAAATAATTTCTATTGGCTTAAGGAAAATTAATAGACCCACTAATAATTAGTAAGTATATAGAATGCTATAAAAACTGTAAGTTTTTGAAGAAATAACTATATTATCTACCCATGATCACATTTACTTTTTAAAAACAGTTACATTCTCTATATCTTATTCTACTTATAGAGGTTATTCTAAATAGATCCCTATGCCTACACTAGTACCAGATTTGATATATTTTAAAATCCATATGAAAATGGCTGTCATATTTCTATGAAATATGAAGATAAGACTTTTTAATTATTACTTAATTTTTTTAATTATTCAAAGAGCTTATTGAACTGATGAAAAGAGCTCTTATTCTCAATTACATGTTTTCTATAATAGATAATCGATGTAGGCACATAAAAGTGAAGATATGAGCAAAATAAATTGGTTGAGGAATTCAAAAAATAATTTTCTTGTGAATAATTTTGTGAGATACCACTAAATTATATTAAAGAGCAAGTATTTAAAGCGTAGAATTTAATCCTTTTTAATAAATGTATATTCCTGTTAAATGGTCACCGTGATCAAGATAACAATGTCATCTTCCACCCCCGCCAAGAACTCTCTTGTATACAGTTAATGTGTCCTTCCCTCCACCCAACTCTAAGCAATCACTAAGATTTGTTTTCTGTCAGTGAATTTAGTTTGTATTCAATAGCACATTATATAAGTGAACTCAGAGAGGTTTTTTGTTTTTTGTTTTTGTTTTTTTTGCCCTGGGTTCTTTCACTCAGCAGAATGAATGTGCAGCTTATTCATGTATTTTTTTTTATATTTTTTAAAGATTTATTTACTGTTTGCTATGTACCAGGAAACATGCTGAGGGTTGTAATCCTTACAAAACACTTAGGATATAGGCATTAAATTTATACAAGAGGGCCTCTCTGGTGGTGCAAAGGGGTAAGCACAGCACTGTGAAGTTATCCGCAGTTTCTGCTTCAGGAGTTCGATCCCTGGCCAGCCAGGGAGCTACCCACATAGTGCAGGAGACCTCTCCTGTCTCGCCCGCTGCTCCCCTCAGCAGTGTATTTCAGTCAGTCTGGCTGTTCTGTTCCCCGCTCTGTCTCTGGTGAAACATCTCCGCCCCTGCACCTCTTGACTGTACCTCAGTTCTTATATACACAAATAAATAATTCCTTTCAAAAAATAAATTTATATAGGAGAAAAATGAGGAGCACAGAGGCTAACAATTTTCCAAAGGCACTAGGTAGAAAACAGTGGAGGAGCTTGTATTTTATTTCAAAAAAGAAGACCCATGGGCCTCACCTGGTGGAGTCTGTAACTTCTTTTCTAAGTTATCACTCAATTGCCTTAATGATATAAATTATGAGGAAACGTCTTACCTCCTTTTATTTTTTAAAGATTTATTTATTCATACAAGAGCTGGGGTATAGGCCAGAGGTGTGGGGGTGAGAGGATTCATCAGAGACAGAGCGGGGAACAGAACAGGCAGACTGACTGAAACACACTGCTGAGGGGAGCAGCGGGCGAGACAGGAGAGGTCTTCGGCACCATGTGGGTTTCTCTCTGGCCAGCCAGGAATCAAAGTCATGCTGCAGAGGCTGCGGATTGCTTCATAGTGTGATGCTTAACCCCTTGCACCAGCAGGGAGGCCCCCTTCCTCCAATTAAAAATGCATTCATTGTTTTCTAGTTATTTACTTGACCATTACTTTTACTCTCGTCCCATTGTCTGTCTAACATACATAGTGAATCAATACAGTTGGTTCCTTAAACTGCATTTTGGATTTTATTGCCTTCTATAACTTGTTGGCCACATTTTTTCCTAAAGTATGTGCATGCCCAGGCTATGAATGTCTATATAGACAAGACATAGAGAAAACAATCAGATTAGAAGGAAATCTGCTTCTAGAAGTTTAGAAGCTGTGTTTGCATTGCTAATGTTCTATTTTGAATAAGTTGATGTGTTCTTTTGAGGGACTTGTGGGGAAGGGAAGTTGAAAATGATTCTGAATTTAGGGAAGCAACTGAAGTCCTTCCAGTCCACCTGCTGATGCTGCCATAGTTAATTCTCTGTTTTCTTTTTCCAAAATATTATTTCTTCACTTCTTTCACTTCTGTTCCTTTAAATTGTGTCCACACTGAATTTTTCTGCCTAATTCAGGAAGATTCCTATTGAATTAAATATAAATAAATAAATAGTGTTCATTTTCTCTTTTTCCATATTTTTCATAAATATTATCTCCAACTAAGCTATTGTATCTAGTTCAATTTGGCAAGTGGAGGAGAACAGAGAAATTTTATCTTCCTCTGTGAATGTTGTGAGTGGGGCTGGGGTTAAGACTGAGCACGAGGGCCTCCCTGGTGGCGCAGCGGGTTGAGTGCAGCACTGTGAAGCTGTCTGCAGCCTCTGCAGCACAGGTTCGATTCCCAGCCGGCCAGGGAGATTCCCACATGGCAGAGCAGACCTCTCCTGTCATGTCCACTGCTCCCCTCAGCAGTGTATTTTGGTCGTCTGCTTGTTCTGCTCCCTGTTCTGTCTCTGGTGAATCCTCTCACCCTCCCACGCTTCTGGCCTGTACAACAGCTCTTGTATAAATCTTAAAAAAAAAAAAAAAAAAAAAAAGACTGAGCAGGAGTCTAATGGGAGCAAATTGATGTGTTTGATAGTCAAAGAGATCAGCTTGGTGTGCTGTTCCGCCAGTTCTACTTACTTGAATATGACTTCATTCACAGAGGCTTCTGTTCACAAAAAAATGGTGCTTATCGTAGTGGTATCAGGGGTTTGGGTGGATAGGGTGAGTAATGTCACAGTAACACCATGAGTGAAAAGAGCATCAACTTGAAGATATTTATTTGGGAAATTCATTTCTATATGAAGATGACTATATCATACAGCTATTAGGTATTCAGTTGAGCTGCTTATTAACTTTGAAGTCCTCTGGAATTCATAACATTGTCCACAGCAGAGGCCCCACTGATAATATCAACTACAAAATAATAACTTTCTACTTCACTACTACGAGAAGTGATGATTTTTTTTTCATTTTTCATTTTTTTCATTAATAGGAATGAACACTCCACCAAGTTTTTTGTGGAAAAAAAAATATATATAGAATAAAATAATACCTTTCTATTTTAACAGGACAACACTGTAATATGCAAAAATCTACAAATTCTGATACCTCTGTGGAAATGCTGAGTTCCACCTGCCAAGCCACCGGAGCTGTGCAAATGAGAATCAAAAATGCCAGCAGCCACCACGACAGACTGAGCCAAAGTAAATCCATGATCCTCACCGATGTTGGGAAGGTCACTGAACCCGTAAGTCAAATACCCCAAATGCCCGAAGTTCCCAGATACAGGATTTTGTTTTTTAAAAAAGTTAATTAGCCTTGTTTTATTTGTTTTCCTAATGTGCATGAAAAAACTGTTTTTGTAATGTATTTTATCTTGCCTACTTATAGTCATAATAATATCCCCAGTTACAAGAGAAGAGCTGGGCTTAATCCAGAGTGATAAAGTGGATTTGGAGCTACACTGAAGAGCACCTTTGACTCATTTTAAGGGCCTCCACTATCATGCTTCAGTGTCATAAAAATAATGAGGTTATGCTAGCATGTGGTGTTTGTACTTCCAAATACAGTACATCACTTGAAAAGCCAGAGGCTAAAATTAGCTAAGAATGAACTGAGAAAAAAAAAAAAAAATCTTTAAAAAAAAATGTGAAAATCTCTTCCTTAAAATTTCCCAACAATATTTGATATCAAAGAGAACAATTTGGTTTGGAATGAGTTTACCGATTGTAATGGTGTGGCGATTTAAGGTTTGGAGAGGAAGCCATTTTGTCTCCATAATGTGTCATTAGGAAGATTTGAAATAAAATAGTTAGAGATGAACTCTACTGCCAATTGTGTCCCTGCCCCTGCACGCATCCTGAGCCACTAAACACACTGATTGTGATGAGTCTCCTCTGGTTAATTTTCTTCCATAATGGTGGTAACTTGCAGCTGAGGCCATAGGATGTTACAAAATTATTTATGCAATGTTAGCCACTCTTTTGGACCCCAGATCTATTTTGTTTCTCACAGTGAGACCAAGAGCGAGAGTAGGTTAGCTGGGGACAGCCTGTGAGTTCCAGTCACCCTGCAGAAACAAGTGAGCTATTAATTGAGTGTTCTGTTAATATGGTAGGGGTCTATGAAATATTCAGCTCCCTAACTGAGTTATTAAATGAGATAAACTTGGTGACTAGCATGTTACCAATTATATTTATTTCCCATTTTTCACTTGATTTTGAAGTGCAAAATTAACCCTCAATAATCTCAGGAGCTTGAGAAATCATGAGAAATGCATGATTTTAATCATTTTTTCTTTAGGTGTTATAGGCAAATTTAGCATGAAGAATTCAGCAATTATACTTTGCAAGTAAGAAACATATCCCCAGATAAGGTACCAAGAGATGCGGTTTTCTTTATTTACTTTCTCATTTTAAAGTATTTTCTGCTGGGAGGCACAGCACTACCAGCCTGACTTTGCTTTTAAACCAGCTAAAATGTTCCTCAACTATGAACTTGAGACTGTGGTTAGAGTAAATTATTGGAATCTCTATAATGTATTATCAGTTAGAACTGTACCTTTGAAAAAGTTTAAAAGTTAAGTATATTTAATGATGCCTAACATATTTTATTGGCTGTGTTTAACAAAAGGCACTATGCCGCAGTTGTTTTTGACAAGCATGAAAACATCACAGCATGAGACTGCAAAAGGAATTATGGAGAGAAATTACAAGTGATCCATCTCTCAATGAATTATCCACCTCAATAGCCCGCAGAACTCAGCTACCAATTAACACCTACTTTATTACATGTTGGGATGTACTTAATAACTTTCATGTGTTTATGCACTATTACCTTGACTGATGCCTCTTGTACAATTAGGCATAATTGGCATATCAATATGCAAAAGTTAAAAGGATTAACCCTCTTAAAACTAATGAGCATTTCTGTATCCAGCTGCTAAATGAGACAAAATTAGCATTTTTCACTTTTGGGCAGGATTTTATCATGCAGTTTCTCATTGTTGATATTACCTTGTTACATAACTTTAGTTTAGGGGGTTATATGCTGGACTGCTAGAGAATAAGAGTTTTCCAAAGTTAAATGAGCTATAATTATCCCAGCTTTTGTTTCTGCATTCTTAGCCTGGGCAATATGTATTCCTCGATAAGGAACAAAAATAAAAGTTACTTTTGGTTATGTGTGCTCAGTGCATAATTATATAAAAGGGGTATTTTAGTGAGGATATGTCATTTCACCGAGAAAACTTGGCTCAGAGATACAGCATTGAAAGTTTGCCATGGCACTAATTTTCTTTCTGTCTCAGTTCTTTTCATCTCTTTTTTCCATGCACAATTTTCTGACTAGATACTGACAGAATGTAAAGTATTTTGGCATATTTATTCAAACAAGCCTGTTAAAGATATCTGCTCAAGCTAAACTAAGAACTTGATTTTTTAGAAGTTGGAGGTTGGGGTGAGGTCAAAGGGGGGAGATTTTGAACTCAAGAGAAGTGGGAAGAGCTCCGTACTAAAAATATGTGCTCATGTTCACATGTAATATGGCTCGTTGTCACAGAGATATGGACGTCTGATCTGCACAGAAAAGAGTATTTTTTACTCACAAGTCAGAAATGCATTGCATGTATGTTATGCATCCATTTAAAATATATGATATCTACATATCATGTGCATATCTATATAACTTGTTTTACCGACATAATAATTATGCAGATCTAATATGAATCATTGGAATAAATAATCGCAGGATCTGATATCACATTCAGAGTGATTTAACATTACAAAGTGATCACCACTAGGGTCAAATCAAGTATATACTTTCAATCATTAATTCATAAATTCCTCTTTTTTATTTTGTTCAATTAAAAATATGACTGCAAACTTAAAACAAAATATAAAATTCTACCTCAGTCATAAGAACCTATTATTCTTGGTATTTCAAAGTGAAGGGTATTTTGAAATGCCAATATGAATATTTATATGATCCTAAGCTATGCAATCACAGGTGAATTTTACTTGTTAAATTAAAAGTTTTGATTACCTCAGTGCTTCAGGGAAACATTTCAGTGGAGCAGGTATCGACTCTCCATTAGTATTTTATTGGTTGTGTGCATCATTTTCTTTAAACACCAAGTAATCATTTTTATGTGGGTAATAGGACTGATGTATTTTCAAAATTCTAAGAGCCCGCCCTGCTACCTGGGAAAAATTGGTGGTGTGGGAAGTGTGGACAGGGGATGACATGGTTAGCAAGAAAATTGCCTATCTGTAAGTGAGATCTGGAGAACTCTCCTTGGTGGGGATGGAACCCTTTTTGGTCTCAATGATTTGTTGTCTCATCCTGAGCACCAGAGTGCGACTTCTTAAAGGTAGACTATTTACCCGAATGTGCTAAACACAGAAGCAGGCAGCTTAGTGAATGGAAATGGGGCAAGTGAGGTGTGCCTGTGTATGGGCTGAAAAGGCTAATGTGCAATCCACCAACGAGCTAATGCAAAAGCTTTAATGTGACTTTGATGTTATTTATAAGAGTCATGCACCAGCCTACTAGACAGTTTAGAATAGATATTAATGAAGAGTTTAAATAGCCCAAGTCAGGAAAACTGCAGACATAGGATTTGCTGGCAAGATCAGTCTCTGCGTTTAATGCCGGTGTCTTAAGCAGCAACACGTATGGATATTCACCATTTCCATTTTGTACAACTCTGCAGAAGTGCTTTACTTCATTCATGGCCATCGTGGGCAGGGAAGAGCTCTTTATTAGCTTTCAGATAAAGACTTAAGTCGAGGCATTTCTAAATGTTATCATACAAGACTCCTTTTGCTTCCGTTAACATGCTGTACTTGCTCATTTTTCTTTTTAATATAAGAAGAGAGAGGAAACAATTTTCTTTTGTTTCTTAGTTCTGTGCTTATAGGACACTTGCCAAAGTTGTGGCTAGCCAGAGAGGCAGACATAAAATTGCTACTAAAAATATAAACCTTCTGTTTAGCAGAGTTTTTGAGAAATATTATGAGACTGTAGGAGTTGTCCATGTTTACTTCAAATCAAGCTTGTAGTTAGGTTTGAGGCTTTGTTTGTATAAATTGTCCTGAAGTGGATCCTGATATTTAATTAAAATGACACTAAATCACATTGAATTGATAAGACTTGGCATCTCAAACAAAGGTAATTGCCCGTATTGGTTTTGTGCAAAAATAGCACTGCTTGGAAAATGTGCAGCCAACACAGACTGTCAACTCCATTTATAGATCAATATGTGAAAACCATTGATCAGGCAGGCATGTATAACAGTAACACTTTGCATTTATTTGTTGTTTTTATACCACATTAAGGCTTACAGGATTATAGGCTTCCTAAATATTTTGACTTTCTCATAAATATATGATCTGTTGCATGTTAATTAAATGAGAGTCTGCAGCCATTTCTAAAATTGTTTTTAGTTTGATGATTTCCTTTTATTGCTGTGGATCGCATGATCTGAAAATGGATTAGTTTCCTCCTGCATAAAGATTATTAAAGCTTATTTTAATGTGCCCTATTTAGTGTAAGATGTGACTGCCTTTTTGCTTTGAAAAATATAGATACAGACAATTATTTTTTCTTAGCATGTGGCTGATCATTTTTTTTATTAACTGGGTATTTTCAGTGCTCAGGGTAGAATTATTTTCTGATATATTTTGCTCACCATGTAGATAATGGGTCTTCTTTATTTTTCTGATAGGATTTGTTTGCTTTCTTTTTATCAAGTTCTGTAGCACAGGCATCTGATCAAACACTATGTAAAAATAAACTGATCATCTCAATTAAGTTCTAGACACGGAAATATAATTTTAATTCTATTTATTTTTCATTCGAGTACCAGTCTTATGAACTGTTCTCATATACTGCATTCTGCAGTTAAATCTTTCTTATCTCATCAATGTAAGGACAGTGTTTTGTTCCTAATCTTTATTGGACTATTGTGGATGACATTTGTAAGCCATTTTGGTTTATAAGGAAAAGCTGGAGACAGTGGAGTTGAAACTCTCCATAGATCTAAGCCTCAGATATGACTACACAATAATGTGTCTTCCACTGCAATTTTCTTTGCTACTGAGAGGTCAATTTTGTTGAGAAATCTTTTTATATCCTCTATATACAGTAGGAGTGCTGCTTTCAAGATACTACTTTGCTTTATATACCACATTCAAACAATAATAAAACAAGCAAGATTTTTCACAAACAGAAAAAAAAAAAAGAATT